CATGATCTGCTAGAATTACACTTTGGGGGAATTGTATTTGGTTCAGTGTGAATTATTATAAACTTAACTGCTGCCTAATTTAACTTCCCCTGGCCCAGTTCCTGGATATTCAGATTGCTTTCCACACATATCTGATATAAATGTTCCCTTTAAAGGGACTATCATGCAGCTAGTTTCGGAAAATGTAGGGGCTGGTTCATAGGCACATAAGATATAGATTCTTTTTCAAAGACAAGAAACTTCAATTCACTAATTCCTGTTGAGCACCAACAAGTTACATGGCTGCATATGACTAAGTTCCCAGCTTTTGAAGAAAAGGCTGCATGTTCCTGGTCAGCAACACATTTTGGGGAAGGCTACTTGCAAAGGGGTCTGGAACGGATGAGAAAAGGACTCATTTTGAATGCTATCAAATAGCCCGCTCCCAAGTGCTATTGCTACACATGCCATGGCTCCTCGTCTTTTTTGGTGTCTTGCTTGGTAAATGAAAAGTCAGACAACACCTCTTAAGGGTCACATCTGGCTTGCAGAGTATTTCATTTCTGGATATGCTGTAGATTCACTCCCAGATATTTAGATACTCTTCACAATTCTCTAACAATGAAAATGAGCTCATCGCTCAAAACGGACAGACTATAAAATACTGGAGTAATGTGCCCGAACTAGCGTAACAGGACACCAATATACTCAAATTCTCCCCCTAAAGCACTGTAATATGCCACATGGGAGATGCTATGTGAGGTCATTTAAATGGTACCAAAACTTAAGCAGAAGGCACTCAGCAGGGACGGTTATTGCAAAGAGTGTAAACTATATAAAATAAAATAGTGAACACAGACAGGTAGAAAGGAGTTAGCTTGTACTAGCTGCAGTCCTTTAGAAGGGTGGTGATATAAACCAATTTAAAATGGTTTAGGCTCAAGACATATAGTGGTTGTGCCCTTCTCTCTTCCTATATTAGTATCAGATACTGACATATACGAGGGGTATTTTTTAAGTAAGGTCCGTTTTGTTGTAGACACTAGTAGTTTGCGCGCATACCGCAACGAGCGCGTGCGTCGTGTACCGGCATGCCTCGGGAACAACTGTGCTCAGTTTCCGCTCTGTAGCTAACCTGTACAGTTCTGTTCTGTGCTTTAAAAATGTTTAAGACTATCAACTCACCCTCCGCATGTGAGGTTCGCTCAGTGATACGGCTTTTGTCAGCAAGGAACCTGCCTGCTGCAGAAATTCATCGACAGATTTGTGAAGTGTACAGTGATACTGTTATGAGTGAAAGCAAAGTGCGTAAGTGGGTACGACAATTCAAAGATGGCCGCGACAACGTCCATAATGAGGACCACTCCGGTCACCCTTCATTAATTACAGACGATTTGGTGGCTTTTGGTAGCGGCAAGTTTTTATGAAGAGGGTATTTTAAAATTGGTTCAGAGGTATGATAAGTGTTTGAACAAACTTGGCAACTATGTCAAAAAATAGAGTGAAGTATGTACTTTCTGAAAATAAATTTACACTTTTGAAATAAACTTTCATTGTGTACTTATGTTCAAACGGACCTTACTTAAAAAATACCCCTCGTATTTCTCTTTCAAAACTTGTGCAGCATTTTGTACTCACATTCCTATTAAACCCTTATTCCAGTGGTTCTCAACCTGGGGTCCCCAGATGTTTTTGGCCTACAACTCCCAGAAATCCCAGCCAGTTTACCAGCTGTTAGGATTTCTGGGAGTTTAAGGCCAAAAACAGGCTGAGAACCACTGCCTTATTCAGTTCTGCCATTACAAACTAAAGCTATAACCTTGTGCACACCTGTTAGCAAGAAGGTACCCCTGAACCCAAGGAGACATATTCAGCGGTAAGCATGCACAAGAACAGGCTATGATCTGCAAAACATTAGAACAATTAAGAATTGTCCCTTCTTACAATTTAAGCATTTCATGTGGAATGGTACGCCATGTATGGGATAAGCAAAAATACACTTTTTCCTGTACAGTAGAACAAAAATAATTTTCAGTTCGAAAATACAACCTTCATGTTAAATACAATTATGTACAATTTCATAGTTTTGTAAAACTAGTTAAAATGTATAACATTTAATATTGTCTTAAATTTCATTTGAATCTATGCTACAGGAACCACTAATATCCAAAAATACGGGGAATGAAAATGCTTTGCTATAAAACGTATACAATGTAAATTCTTTACCAGGTAAAATTGTACATAGTTTATCCACGTAACACATTTCAAAGGAGCATTTTCATAAGCACACAGAAGCAGCAATATTTGAAAGGAAGTGCTCTTGGGACAAGAGCCAACTTGTCAACATTCACTTTACTCAAGACGGTAGCTGTGGAGTAATCATCTTTCCTGCTTACCTCAAACAGTGGTTAATATTTTTCCTTCCAAGGAATGGTGAATTAATCTGATCACACTTTGCATCAGATACTCAAAAACACCTAACTTTATGCAGTTCAGTGGGTGCTTTAACTTGTGCACCAAGTTTCACAAAATGTGGGCTTTCATATTCACTTCAGTTACAGGTGACCTGCCAGGAATGTGCAAAACAAAGGAAGCATTGAAGTTGCCTCCTCCATTAAGGGAAAAGGGAAGACTTGGCCTGTGCCAAAACTCTCCATGCACCTCACAGCTATGACATAAAAGAAGCTATAAGATCAAGGAAGCTGTCTCTGTAGTATCAAGACCTCTTCAGTGAGTACATATTCCAGTTTATGCTATGAGAGTTAGTCCAAAATCCTTCCTTGAGCAGGAAAAAGTTGTATAGAAATGATGGATTCAGTTCATAAATGAAGGGAATAGGGATAATATATTGTCGAAGGCCTTCATGGCTGGAATCACTGGGTTGTTGTAGGTTTTTTTGGGCTATATGGCCATGTTCTAGAAGCATTTTCTCCTGACATTTCACCTGCATCTATGGCAAGCACCCTCAGAGGTTATGAGGTCTGTATAATTTCAGGCAAAACTTCAGGAGAAAATGCCTCTAGAACATGGCCATATAGCCCGAAAAAACCTACAACAACCCAGGAATAGGGATATGCACTCAGCTTAGACAAACTATGCTATCCCTTTTAGAGTTTCGATTTTGCTTTCTATTCTTCAAAAAAGTACGTTAATTCAAAACTTTTTAGATTTCTTGGTTGTTGCAGGTTTTTTGAGCAATATGGCCATGTTCTAGAAGCATTCTCTCCTGACATTTCACCTGCATCTATGGCAGGCATCCTCAGAGGTTGTGAGGCCAATAGACCTCATAACCTCTGAGGATGCTTGCCATAGATGCAGGTGAAACGTCAGGAGAGAATGCTTCTAGAACATGGCCATATATCCCAAAAAACTACAACAACTCGGTGATTCTGGCCATGAAAGCCTTCGACAATACAATGTTTAGATTTCATTATGTAGAACATTAATTTAAGATTGTATTTCTGTAGTTGTGGGCTACTTTCTTAGCTAAGGCCAAACTCCCTCAAGTTTTAATTTAGTACAATCTTCCAAATGCAAAAACTTATTTTTATTCACAAAGTCCAAAATAACTGCGACTAGAAAAATCGATAGATGTTAATGCTTTCGGCAAGATGGCCCACAATGTTTGAGAATCATTAAATACTCTAAGCAGAACACCAATTATCATTTATGGTACTAAATACTGTGGAGCACACAGATTACTGCGCACAAGATATGAAATATATTTTCACTGGCACAAGACACTGCCTGCTATCGACACTAGACATTTCCTTTATATATATATATATAAAAATATTCTTTGTTGACATAAAATTGTCAAGAATACAGCTACTATAGAACAAGCTACCCATGACAAAGAATTAGCACAACATAGCATAGTAAGCTCCAGAATATGGCTTAAGGACTTCACAGAACATTGAACCTCCCTCCCCCCCCCCAAAAAAAATCTTAAATTAATATCAACTTTTAATCTCGGACACTGGCTTTTATTATTAAGGCTCTTTTTATAACCACTATTAGAACTGATTATCAATATAGCATTTGTTTCTGTTTTCAATGCCCGAAAATATGAAACACAAAGGTATAGCTCAACCTCTTTCTTGGTAGTGAGAACACATTTTCTGATAGTGTTTTTTGCCCGATTAACATGCAATGTAAGGCACCATATATGGTGCAAGTACTGGAGGAATTCTGAAATTAATGCGTATGGTAATTCTAAGAGGTTTGCCTTTAAACAGAGCAGGAATTAAACTGCAGGAAACAAGTCTAACTGAGTAATTCTGTTGCAATACAGTCTGAGTATTCATTTTGCCTACTCAATGACATTTTGCCTCCAGTTTTTACAAGTTTGAACTCAAGCAACTTGTTCTCCCTGAAAACAGAAATTGATATTTCACAACATTTTGCAACTCGTCCATCAAGGTTGATTTAAGACATTGCATCACAGTGAGCCTCGCCACTCTTAGCCCAATCTCCTAAGTGACTTGCCATACTGCCAAAAAATGTAATGAAGTCTTATAATGTTATTTCAATGTTTGTCCAAGACTAATGCCTATCATGCTATGAGGACATGGAGCCACAAGCCTTATACTTATTATTGTCGCCTTTTCACAAATAAGACCATAATATTTAAAGGCAGAAGTTGTGGTTTGTTGGAATCTGTAGTTTCCTGTTTTGAATATCTTCAAATAAAGATAATAAGTTGAAAATTTAATGAACTCACTAAGACTGAAAAACTGTTTCCTGTATTTGGACATAACGGAGTTCTGTTCACAAACCATGAATAGACACTTTACTCTTGGGTTGTTGTAGGTTTTTTCGGGCTATATGGCCATGTTCTAGAGGCATTTTCTCCTGACGTTTCGCCTGCATCTATGGCAAGCATTCTCAGAGGTAGTGAGGTCATGAACATGGTGAACATGTTTCCCATAGATGCAGGCGAAACATCAGGAGAGAATGCCTCTAGAACATGGCCCATATAGCCCGAAAAAACCTACAACAACCCAGTGATTCCGGCCATGAAAGCCTTTACTCTTTCTCTTGTCCCATGCAAAAGAGGACATAAGTAAAATGTATTTTTCAAAAATAATTCAAGAGCTTGCATCCACTTGTCCCCATCACAGTTTAGTGCTTTGCCTCAAGTAACCCCAAATGCAGCCTCATGAGATCTGGAAAAAATTTAATCCACCTACAAAAACGAGATAACATTGTGGTCATTTTTCTACATCGGCAACTTAGTAGAAAAAATGGATGGATCTGACAACAGAGGCAAGATGCAAATGGAAAAATCACCCATCTCCTTAAATATTCTCTCCAATTGCCTCCTTTTGAATTAATTATAACAATGGCATGAGATATTATGCATTGGAAATATCACTTCCATCTGTTCACATGCAATGAAGTTCTGCTAGTGCTAGAGAAATGGAGTGGGTCAGCAATTTCACTGATTATCCCCTCTACCCAGTTTCTAGCATAATCCCTTGTGCTGCAAGAAGGAGGAGAAATGGTTGACTATTGTGGCCACATTCCATTTCTTCTAGTGCAGAGGTTCTCAACCTGTGGGTCCCCAGGAGTTTTGGCCTACAACTCCCAGAAATCCCAGCCAGTTTACCAGCTGTTAGGATTTCTGGGAGTTGAAGGCCAAAACATCTGGGGACCACAGGTTGAGAACCACTGTTCTAGTGGGAAACATCTGCTGGATCTTGGCGCTCTCCGAAACAGAGGGACTATTTCCATGTTTGGAGAGACAAGTCTGGATTCAACCCTACACAACAACACACCAAAAGTGGTGAAAGTGCTATCTTACTTTAATAAATGGCTTTACATCAGTGGTTCTCAACCTGTGGGTCCTCAGGTGTTTTGGCCTACAACTCCCAGAAATCCCAGCCAGTTTACCAGCTGTGAGGATTTCTGGGAGTTGAAGGCCAAAACATCTGGGGACCCACAGGTTGAGAACCACCACTTTAGATTCTCTGAACTCATTTGTGTATCTACTTTTACTGCTTCTTAACAGCGTTGAAAGCTGCCTACAGCTTAATATTATAGACTGAAGAGGACCTCAGGGACACAAACCTTTCAAAACTGCAGAACCAATACCTATTTTACCATTTTTGAGGAAAAAATAAATAGCACCAACTTATTTTACTGCAAGAATATACTTTAAATTTAGTCATGGAAAATGAACATCTCTAATCAATATTAACAATGTAGCAGTATGGCTGCATCTTGTTTTTTGTTCTTTGTTTTTTAAGGCTGGTTCAATTGAAATATAGATTTTAAGGACTTATCCCTCAGAAACATAATTAACTCCAGTTTTAAAGATGTAGTAAACACTCAAGGATAATACCCTAATATTCTTCCAACAACCCATTAGAAATATGGCTCAGTGTTCTGGCTGCATGAACGGACTCTGATTAAGGGAAAACATTTAAGAAAGCCCAATGATTTTACCTGACAAATTCCCCCAATTTCAGGTAAGCTTTAGTTACTGAGTGTAAATCCCTACAACTGCCAGTTAATCTCATTAGCTTTTCTCTTTGATTTTTACTAAACTACAGAATAGTTTTCCTGAGTAAGATTATAAAATACTTGATCATTCTACCAAAAATACAAAGACACGTAAAATGTAGTACAATACAAACCAACATATAACAGGATCACAAGTGCAGAAATGTTGTTGCTTTTCACTGTAATTGGCCCCAATAGAAATACTTGCAAAAAAAAAACTTTAGGTATCCAAAATATTTTGAAGGACGGTAATTAAGTTCTTCAGACCATGAATGTAGCCCTCATCTCGTGCACTGCTGGGGAAAACGTGCGCAAAATCTATCATCCTGATTTCAACTTCTGCACTTTCTGGCAGCGTAGTGGGCATGTGGCAGAAAACCTTTTCCAGCTGAGGTATAACATTTCCATTCAGATGTTTCTGTGAAAAGCAAGCACTGCTCTTCCATGTATTGTCTGGTTCCAAAGTTTCAACTTTTAGCGAAATTTGACTCTGGTGCCTTTTCCGAAGTGCATACATTTTAGAGAAGCCTTTGCCCACAGTGGTCTCCACCTTTCCATTTTCTGTATTCTTGATTACATGGATGTTGTTGTTATATTCCAGTGTGTCACCGCTTGGGACTTGCCCATTGGAGGCTCTTCTCTTTTCGACCAGAGTGCCAGTACTTAGCCATGTAGTTGTCACTGAAGACAAGCCATCATAGACAAATAGTAAGGAACTTGCATAAAAATTAAGCTGCTTCTGGCTCTCAAACCACTGCAAGATTTCTCTAATCTTCTGAATACTGGCAGCTATCGCATCTTTTCTCAGGACATATCCATTAAAGAAAAAACGAGCCACACCTACAAAAAAGAAACTTGTGCAGTTAGTCATCAAAAACAGAAAATATCAAATAAAGGCCTATTCATTTAATACACACACACAAATAACAATTTAAGAGATATGTTTTACAGCTGTCATTGCCAACCTTGGGTTTCCCAGTGTTAACCAATTTTCACTTCCAGAACCCCTAGCGAGGCAATGGGTAGGAATACAGGGTCTTATGGGCCAATATTTAGGGATCCATATTTGGAGATTTCAGTAATGCAATGCCATTTAGTATTATGCTTTATTATTTAGCTCAGACTCCTCAAAATATTAATTACAAAAAATGTTAAGGAAAAACCGCAATTTTCATTTCCAGAATCCCTAGCGAGGCAATGGCTAGGAATACAGGGTCTTGTGGGCCAATATTTAGGGATCCATATTTGGAGATTTCAGTAATGCAATGTCATTTAGTATTACACTTCATTATTTAGCTCAGACTCCTCAAAATATTAATTGCAAAAAAATGTTAAGGTAAAACTGCAAGGAATATGTTTGAGCAACTGATCTCCAACACCCATCTGATTCCAGCAACCCACCTTCTAAAATCTGAGTTAACCTGACATCCGGCCAGACAATCTGCATGATACTTAGTTGGCACATGACTTCCTCCCTGTCATATCTGTCAAAATGTGAATAAAGGAATGAAATATGTCTGCTTGAATCTATCCTTCAGACACTTTATCCTCGTGGGTTTTTCCTCCATTGTATTGTAATCTGTGCACTTTAAATTCAGCCTCTGATGTGCTTTTAAGCAAATCCCTGGAGTTCAATATTTGCCTCAGGACAATACATGGATATTAGAGGTAGAGCTACCTTATATACTCAGTACAAGTCTAGAAATTTTAGTTAAAAAGATCCACCTAAAAAGCCTTATCCACAAGTCAAATTGAGAACTGTACCATAACTCTTTTAAAAAAGAACAACCCCCTTGTCTGAGTAGAGTGGCAAAAGACAAGAGCTTAATCCATCCCAGGATAATCTAGGAGAAGCACTGACCCCGTCTACTCTCTCTGCTGTGGCACCACTTCTGGCCTCTTTTGAATTCCTGGCCAGGAAAATGGCAGCAGAAACCAGGGGCAACTGACCTCCCGAGGTGGCATTGGTGCTTCCCTTCTCTGGGGAATGACCCGTAATTTATCCATAGGTCACATTCATATCCACAATACTGACCTCCAGCCTGCCCTCAACTTATATGAGGTCAACTTGTGCGTGAAAATGTATTAGTGTTGTTTGAATAATGACTGAAAATAGCATTCAGCTGTCGACACATAAAGTCAATGGTCAACTTTATACCCATATTTTCTGTTTCCACATAATTACACAGACAAACACATGCACATATATATTATTCATCACACTAGAACAGGGAGCCCTGTATCAAATTTTCCTATTTCAATTATTAATGCTGCCATCTTTTTGAATAGGCACGATTTCGTCTCCCCATTCTTGATCTCTAATCAAATGGAAGCCATTTCTCTCTTGCTTTTGAATCCTATATATAGGAGGCTGGTTTTATTGTACTTTATTTTCCTTAATTACGAGGAGCACTATATGTAGTTCCCAAACTCCAGCCCGGCTACTCTTGTAAATGAAGGCCTAGATTAGTCTATGAGCAGACAATCTCGACGCAGACATTACCATCTTTTATTGTCTCTTTTGTTAAGCCTCTTCCGTAATGCTGGTTCTGTGTCTCGTAGCTGTCAGAATGGACGTGGTACACCTTAAAAACATAAGACAAAAATATATATTTCTATGCCTCGTTTCTTGAAAGTTGCTATGTCTATGGTAATTTTCAGTATAATACTTTGCATGCATAAGAAAGCTTTTCTTCAAAATGCTTCTTGCATCTAAATTTAAGACAATTCCATGAACCAAATTCATCTAGACTTCTAAGTTTAGGTCAAAAAGATCAGCTTGCAAAATTGTATGTGAAAACACTAAATTGTGGGGGAGGGGGGTAAATCCACATTTGCATTACTTTTGCTGGTTTTTGTCCAACACAAACATTGGAATCAGTGAGACTAGCAATAAAGATGTCAATAATTTAGTAAATCTGGAATCAAATGACCTATAGACTGTTCAGAATGAGAAAGTGAGCCATAATTTATTTATTTACTATATTTGTACCCATCCTTCTCACCCCAGAGGGGACTCAAGGTGGCCTCATAAAGCATAAACATAAATCAGATTAAATCTACAACAAACTACTACATAAACTTGAATTCAAACTAGTTTGCTTACAAGCCAAAGTCGGAACAAAACATGGCTTGTGTCAGAGAACATAATGAAACAGGCTGAATCAATATGTAAAGCATGCAAGTATCAATACAAATGCACACCATTATTCATATCATGCTCTACAACCAACTCAACTAAATTTTGAAGTTGATTGAGACCATATTGTTATCAAGCACAGATTCATTCTAAAACAAATCACTTTGGACTGATTCCAAGTGCCAGGCATCCAACGTAATTGTGGGAAATGAAAATGAGCATTTAAAGAAAAGGCTGCTGTGGAAGGGGAAGGTTAGGCTCAACTTAATGTAACTTCGAACATGAAATCTAGTACATGAATTCAAATAACACTCTGCTGAACTGAAATTACAACATCATTTACCTCTTGCATCTCCTTGTTTTCTAGCAAGTTTGAGTTAATAGAAATTGCTGAAATCTACATGGAGGGACTGAATGATTGAGCTTGGTCTCTCTAAACCAATGGTTTCCAACCTTCCTAATGCCTCGACCCCTTAATACAGTTCCTCATGTTGTGGTGACCCCCAACCATAACATTATTATCGTTGCTACTTCACAACTGCAATCTTGCTCCTGATATGCAGGACGTATTTTCATTCACTAGACCAAATTTGGCACAAATACACAATACGCCCACATTTGAATACTTTTGGAGTGGGATGGGGGATTTTGTCATTTGGAAGTTGTAGTTGCTGGATTTATAGTTCACCTACAATCAAAGAACATTCTGAACTCCACCAATGATGGAATTGAACCAAACGTAGCACACAGAACTCCCATGACCAACAGAAAATACTGGAAGGGTTTGGTGGGCATTGACCTTGAGTTTGGGAGTTGTAATTCACCTACACCCAGAGAGCACTGTGGACTCAAATAATGATGGATCTGGACCAAACTTGGCACAAATACTCAATATGCCCAAATGTGAACACTGGTGGAGTTTGCAGAAAATAGATCTTGACATTTGGGAGTTGTAGTTACTGGGATTAATAGTTCACCTACAATCAAAGAGCACTCTGAACCACACCAAGATAGAATTGGGCCAAACTTCCCACACAGAACCCTCATGACCAACAGAAAATACAGTGTTTTTTGGTGGTCTTTGGCGACTCCTCTGACACCTGCTCGCGACCCCCCTAGGGGTCCCAACCCCCAAGTTGAGAAACACTGCCCTATCATTTACCTTTTATTTTGTTCAGTAGATAGCTTAATCTGCTGATTGCCTTTTTTTCTTAGTCTGAGCAGTAATCTTATTTATTGCATACAAGTCTCCACTTCAGGAAGTGAATCCTATTGCCTTCCTTATTCCCACCTGGGCACTGAAGTTGGCATTAGCTGCTATTAAGTGCCTGATTTGCTTTGTTACTGAGAAGTCAGCCATAGCAGAGCACCTGATGAATCAACCTGGACACAGCATATTATTTGAGAACACAGAAATGCTGGACCACTCTAACAACCACCGTGTCAAGCTACACAGAGAAGCCAATGAAATCCACAGGCATGTGGACAATTTCAACAGAAAGGAAGAAACTATGAAAATGAACAAAATCTGGCTACCAGTACTAAAATTATAACAGTAAATAAAAAAAAACTCAAACATAGGGAAACTGCAGTCAGGAAACAATCAGGAACACTTGGTCACCTCTCCACAAGGAAATTTCCCAGGCAGTAACAAGCCACACCTAAAAACTGTCAGGCCATCAAATGCTAATCAAGGTGGCCAATTGAAACATTCATACCTAGCTCCAACAGACAAGAATTCTTTCTCCCACCCTGGACCTTCTACAGACACATAAACCCAATTTTCCAGTTTCCAACAAACCTCACAATCGCTGAGGATGCTTGCCACAGATGCAGGCGAAACGTCAGACTGTAGAACATGGCCATACAGCCCAAAAAACCTGTAACAACTCAATGATTCCGGCCATGAAAGCCTTCAACAATACAATTTACGGGCACCCTGTATATTTTTTCTACTTGGCTCAAGAACATAATTTACTGCCTCAATGGCTAATTGCTTAGGTTTTGAATAAGAATCCAGTTTATAAATTTAAACGCAAATCCTTCACATGATTAATGAACCAGAATAAGTCAATTAGAGCTTCACTAACAGGATGCTCTCGAAGACTGTTACAGTATAAAATACTTGAAGCAAACGAGTGCAGACAAGATAGTACGTTAAAATAATTTCAGCTTCACTGAGGTCCCTGTAACATTAGGTTGAGTCAACACAAGTATACTTGATTTAACTTCCAACAAAGAACAGGTGTCAGGTAAATTCCTAAGGAAACAGAACAGTTGACTGTAAACAGCAACTGTGTTGTTGACAGCAGGCCAGAGGTTTTGTTTACAGGTCAAACAGTTGTACCATTGTGCATGAAGAGGACAATACAAGCTGAATGTATAGAATCAGAGGTTCAGTCTTATTATTTTCCAGTAAAAGGGATGTCCATGGCCCAAAAGAATGATTACTAGCCAGAAAAGATAGCAACATTGATCAACAGACTGATCCAGTATAATGAAAACCTACAAGGAGATTGTACAGCCTGGACAACATTTCAGGCCATACTATGATATGTACCTTTCACAGGCAAATAATGCACTTTCCAGAATCAAACTGTACTTCTAGCACTTCTTTGTGTTCTTGTTGCCTTCAAGTCATTTCTGGCCTATGGTGATCTTGGAACAGTTTGATGCGACTGGATAATGATTGGTAATGAAATGTGGAGGACCTATGGTTTTTTATTATGTTTTATTGATGTTATTTGTAATTAATTTTACCTATGTTAAATGTTTTTAATGTTTAAATGTCTTTGTACTGCTGTGGACATCGAATTGTGCCATTTTGTAAATGAGTTGCCCTTGAGCTGAGAATGGTGGTATAGAAGCATAGTAAATAAATAAATAAATAAACTTTGCCTTAATGCAAGTCAAGTACAGGACTGGGATCTATACATCCGTACCTCTGTGTTTTGAAGAAATGGTGAATGCAGTCAGCTACAATTCAATCACAGGGAATGGTGCAAGACAAAAGATTTGTACACATGTAATAGACCTCCAAATTCTCTTCACAGGGAAAAAGGCTTCATTGTTTTGCATCTATTGAAGAGTATCAGCTGAATTAAAATCCAAAGAAGAATGAAGTCTTACCCTCATGCCAAGCACCAAGAACCCAATCTCTTCCATTAATGGATACTTGCTGACCTGTTGCTTAATCTTCTCAGCTGAGGCATATGGATCATAGCTTTTCTGACCTATTTTTACATCCATTATACATGGCTTTTTAAACCTGTGTGTCACATCTTCCAGTTTCAGGTACAGGTCTGTTAATAATTCAGAATAAAACAAATCAATGGCATAAACGAATCAATCCACACATTAAAGGTCACTGGAAGTTAACAACAAGTTAACACAAGCAGTGAAGATTAAGTAGCAGTTCACAAGCAACTCTTTGGAATTCTGTTTTATGCTTGAAAATGACAAAATGTTAACTGACATCTTGCGAAAGTGGACAATGCTAATGCTAATTTGAATGCATGCTTAAAAATGTCAAAGGGTAAGTGAACCAGAGAGTGTTAATTCTAGGCAAAAATTCCAAGACTGAAAAGGCTACTCCTTTCCTATTGAAGGGTGTTGTAGGAACAGATATGGCAGAACTGGGATACAGTTCATCGGAAGTGTTAATATCCATTCCTTAGTGATAGGCTTTACCCATCTACATGCTGTTATATAGCAATGATCCATCTAACTCTTGTTATTTGCCTTGCAAAGGGCAACCAAATGTCCACAGTGATACATTACATGGCATATTTTTTAGTTTCTCATTGTGTTTCTTTTCTCCAAAGGCCTTAGCCATATGAATCAACCTTAAACATGGTTAATATTTATATATTTCCTCTTAATAAGGCTTTTGAAAGTTGGTTCGAACCCTGGTTAACATTAACATCAACCAAAGCCAACATAGGCACAACCTGTAAACATGATTAAGACCATTATGTGATGGGCAATTGGGATTCATATTTGAGAAGAGTTTTTGATCTTAATCACAAAAGCATTATCGTGTTTAGAAGAGGTGAATACTTTCACAATGGCAAGCAGAATCTGCATATCTAAATTGCAGATTAGAAACTTTAGTCAAATTTAAGATTTAAAACATAATAATCTAAAGTATGTTTTTTAAACAGCTCCATTTTAATGAAGCACCTATGAAAGCAGATATGATTCAGTGAGTAAACAAAACAAAAACTGCACAAAACTCTCTCTATATTCATGCAAATGTAGTTAATTTTGCCAGAAAGCATAGAAGCAAGAAAAAAATGTTTTTAAGAGAACTGGTCATATATAGCACCTTAATGCATCCTATACAAGCCACAGCTCTCAAGGATTATCCTCTGCCAATTTCATTTTGTCTCTATCCAAATATATCAACCCACATAAAAGACAAAAAAAGATTTGACAAAGCTATAAGCAATACGGCTTTATTTGTGATTATCACAGATTATGTGTAGCTGTAAAGTTTCTGGGCTGCATGGCCATGTTCCAGAAGCATTCTGTCCTGATGTTTCACCTGCATCTATGGCAGGCATCCTCAGAGGTTGTGAGGTCTGCTGAAAACTAGGCAAGTGAGGTTTATATTTCTCTGGAATGTCCAAGGTGGAAGAAAAAACTCTTGTCTGCTTGAGGCAAGTGTGAATGTTGCAATTGGCCACCTTGATTAGCACTGAATGGCCTTTCAGCTTCAAAGACTGGCTGCTTCCTGCCTAGAGGAATCCAAGCAGACAAGAGTTCTTTCTCCCACCCTGGACATTTCACAGATATATAAACCTCACTTGCCTAGTTTCTAACAGACCTCACAACCTCTGAGGATGCCTGCCATAGGGGGGCGAAACATCAGAAGAGAATGCTTCTGGAACACGACCATACGTCCCAGAAAAATCACAGCAACCCAGTGATTCCTCCATGAAAGCTTTCAACAACACATTATAACTGATTATGCTTGATTTATACCAGCACCATCACTTGATTGTGCTGGTATAAATGAAAATATGTCATAATGGTACCCTTGCTCAGTGAATAGCTGAGTCAGCTGCATGCTGTATTACAAAAGCTGACTACATTTAAATATACTAACTTCAATCTTACAGATGAATCAGTTTAGCTGGCAAAAAACTGTCCTTATTTACACTAGTTTTTCCATTATAGCATACCAATATATAGTTTCATGATGTCCCAAATGATAAGGTCTTATCTCACTGTTTCAAAACGCTCTGTCCCTGACACTCTCAGAAAACCTTCACAAATATTACAACAAAATTAGTGGCTAGCACATCGTACGTTTAGCATTAGTACCATTGGGTGCAGTAGGTGGTGACCAGGTTCCATAATATTTTGGCAAAAATTTTCGGAGTTCTAGAAACACAGAATCTCCACAGGTAGGAGCATACACCTAAAATAAAAAGATAAGAAACATTTGATTTTTTAAATCCACCTTCCTTGTTATGAAAACTAAAAGTATTCAAAACTTTTGTGCTCTTACAGTCAAACAGGGAAGGTGAAGGATGCATTACAGCCTGTACAAAAGGTATCAAAATGATGGGTTTGAACAGTTTCAGTGTTTCGCAAATCATTCTTATTAATAATGGGGTATTACTATAAAAATGAGACTAGATTCAAAAACAAACTAAACGCATGTGAATTCTTAGGGGACCTCCATAGAATGTGTTAACTTATCACACCAGCATCCTGGCAGGAGGCAGACACACTATAATAAAAGTCTACTAAGTATCATTTAAAGCAGGGGTCCTCAAACTTTTTAAACAGAGGGCCAGGTCACAGTCCCTCAAACTGTTGGAGGGCCGGATTATAATTTGAAAAAAAATATGAATGAATTCCTATGCACACTGCACATATCTTATTTGTAGTGCAAAAAAACACTTAAAAACAATACAATAATTAAAATGAAGAACAATTTTAACAAATATAAACTTATTAGTATTTCAATGGGAAGTGTGGGCCTGGTTTTGCCTGATGAGGATTGTTGTTGTTGTTGTTGTGTGCGTTCAAGTCATTTCAGACTTAGGTTGACCCTAAGCAAGGGCCGGATAAATTACTTTGGAGGGACATATCCGCCCCCCGGGCCTTAGTTTGAGGACCCCTGATCTAAAGTTTGTGTGAAATAGAGTGTGAGCAGCATGTTTTATGATGTATTCGTTATATTCATCCCTAAGGAGTTTTCAGAAAAATATAATAACATATTAAGAAAACTGAAAATCTGTTTGAAGGTAAAAATGGGTAAACATATGATTTCCTAATACAGCCTATCAATAATGCATAAACAAGATTGATCAGTATTTAAATATGCTTCCCAATCAAGGTTCTGATTATTTGGGGGGGGGGAGTAGGGAGCAAACTGTTTTCTTGCTGACTACATTTGTTAAAATTATAGATTAACAGATTCTTTGGGGTGATGCCATTATTTTGCACAGTTCTTCACTTGACACTCAGTCTCAGGTTTGAAATTATAACGAACTGGGTTTTGCTTCTGTTGTTTTGCAAAAACAGGCTTCTAGCAAAATCACACATAAAAAACATAGTACTCAAGAATGCAAGAAAATCCATAACCTTTTTCATACTTAGTTCAACACTAGGACTAATTTTTTTAAAAAAAAACACCAAATTCTATCATTTTTGTGACCTAGACCATCAGCTGCCAATATCAGCAAAGGCAGAATGTTAAGCATAAACTTTTCAGAGATAGAATGATAGCCCTATTTCTAATTTCCTTTTTAGTATAATTGGGACACCATCATAAAACTGGGTTACTAGATTTGCAAATTACCGTTCTCTATTATATACACAACAGAAATGTCTTTAGGCTCAATAGATCAAGCTCAAAGACAGTCAAAACTATAAACCAGGGGTCCTCACACTAAGGCCCGGGAGCCGGATACGGCCCTCTAAGGTCATTTACCCGGCCCTCGCTCAGGGTCAACTTAAGTTTGAAACGACTTGAAAGCACACAACAACAACAACAACAACAATCCTATCTCAACAGCCAAAAGCAGGTCCACACTCCCCAATGAAATACTGATAAGCTTATATTTATTAAAATTGTTCTTCATTTTAATTATTGTATTGTTTTTAAGTGTTTTTGCACTACAAATAAGATATGTGCAGTGTGCATAGGAATTCATTCATGTTTTTTTCAAATTATAATCCGGCCCTCCAACAGTTTGAGGGTCTGTGACCTGGTCTTCTGTTTAAAACGTTTGTGGACCCCTGCTATAAACCATGAAAAAAACTTAAGCATTTGATTATCAAACAAATGAATTATTTTTATTCATTCCATACTTTTCTTCAAGCCACAGAAATTGATAGTTGCTAATTTGCTGCAGCAGCAGCAGCAGCAGCAGCAGCAGCAGCAGCAGCAGCAACAACAACAACAACAACAACAACAACAACAACAACAACAACAACAACAACAACAACTAAAAACCGGATGTAATAGACTGGCTTATATTGAAGAAATAGGGTCAGATCACAACAGGAGAAAAAAGATCCCAAAATGGGGCAACTGTAGACTGCTTTTAACTTTAATAGGAAATGGAATCATTTATAAGCACAAGCTGTTCTAGAGCTGTTACAGCAATGAACTATTTGCATATCTCTCCATGTGCAAACTAGTGTTACCCTAGGCAACGGTAGTGTGAGGTACATAACACCCATCCTCCAACTGAGTCAAAACAAATTTCATAATCTCACTTCTAAAGAAGGGCGTTCACATTACTAAAATATTATTTTGTTCTATTGACAGTTTGCAAATAACTTTTCTTTCACACTATTTATATAATCAAATCTTGTAATAGCTTCCTGGAGAAGTCGGATCTGACACAGTGGTACATGTCTTGGTCACGTCCTGTTTCGATTACTGTAATGTGTTCTATGAGAGCTGCCTTTGAAAGTACTCATAAACTGCAGCCATCTTATTAACTGGGGTTCTCAGGAAGAGCGGGGGAGAGACACCCCCAAGAAGGCCCTGTTCCTTGTTACCACCCAACAAACCTAAGAAGGTAGTGGAACAGAGAGAAGGGCAACTCCAGATAATCTTAAAAGGACTAAAGGGCTCATACAGGATATTATGATCCTTCTAATAATCTGGACCTATATAGGGCTTTATTGGTAAAAACCAGAACTTTGAAAAACAGGTTAGCAGCCAATAGAGCTATTGAAACAAAGCAGTGTGCTAACCTATAGCTATGCAGCTTTTATGCACCCCGATAGGCCATAATGCCCATATTCTTTCTTTCCTTATTATGTAAAAACATTTTTTTTTTTGCCATCAGGCTTTTTCAAACTAACAAAGGTTATGCTTTTAATATTGTGCTAGGATTTGTATATAGTCCTTTAATGTATTTTGTTATTCCGATTACAACTTTAAGCTGTTTGCTTATACTATATTTATACTTTTATTCTTGCTATTGTGTTGCTTTTAATATTTATTGTTTTAAAATGTTTTGTTAACCCGCATGAGCTCCATTATGGGAAGAATAAAACAATAATAGATACAACCCACACATAGCAGTTTTAGGTGTTACATGATTTCAAGTTAACAAAACAGAGGACAGAACCTAGTGCCTTATTAATAATTACCGTATATACTCAAGTATAAGCCGGCCCGAATATAAACCGAGGCACCTAATTTTACCACAAAAAAATGGGAAAATTTATTGACTCGAGTAAAAGCCAAGGATGGGAAATGCAGCAGCTACTTGTAAATTTCAAAATAAAAATAGATACCAATAAAATTACATTAATTGAGGAAACAGTGGGTTAAATGTTTTTCAATGTTTACATAAAACTGTAATTTAAAATAAGAGTGACCAACTTTGATTAAACCATTATTCTAACCCTTTTCAGTGTAAATGTGCTTACCTATCCTTCCAATAATAATAATAAAGTAAAATAATAAATGTAATAACAACAATAATAAAGTAAAATAATAAATGTAATAATAATAATAAAAGGAAATAGAGTAAAATAAATGTAATAAAATAATAACAGAGTAAAATAATGCAAATGTAGTAATACCAATAATAGAGTAAAATAATAAATGTAATAACAACAATAACAAAATAAAACAATAAATGTAATAATAATAATAAATAGAGTAAAATAAATGTAATAAAATAATAATAGAGTAAAATAATGTAAATGTAATAATACAAATAATAGAATAAAATAATAAATGTAATAAAAATAATAGTAATAACAGAGTAAAATAATAAATAACTTTGACTCGAGTAAAAGCTGAGGGCAGCTTTTTCAGCCTAAAAAGGGGGCTGAAAAACTAGGCTTATACTTGAGTATATACAGTAAATTGGTTGTCACTGTAAAAGAGCAGAAAGAACTACTCCAGCTCTTGGTTTCTACCAAGGAAAGTAAGTCAACTTGGAGGCATAACATCAAACCAAGAGAGAGCTCAAGCCACCTCCTCCATCAATCAGAGAACCAGCACCTATAGCGCTGGTTCTTTGTTTACAAACATATTTAATAATCTGATGCAAGCTTAGTGATCCATTTCAGAAAAATGCATTTCAACACAACTATCAAAATTAATAGAAAGATGACCCAAGGGGGAAATGGATCCTGGTACCCCTGAGAATAGGGTGTCTGCTTTCCCTTCAATGCCAAAAACGACATTTGCAAGCACTGGCCAGAAGATCCAGAATTGCTAACTGGTCTGGAAACAAGACGATCAAACTAGCCAGAACTGCACTTAAAAGTTCTGCTTTAAGGAAGTGTTCTCCTTCCAATTATTTTCTCTCCCTCTGTCTTACATGTCTTGTATTTTTTGGTTCTGAGCACACTGGCAGAGCTTATCTCATCAGTGTTGGTTTTTCCTTTAATCGTCTGCTTTGGATTACAGCACATAAATATATAACATCGTTTTTAATTAGGTATAATGTACCACTCCTTTTTTCCATGGAACCAGGTTTCCTTTCTTCAGAGACAACCATGCCTGACAGCCCTCTGGTTAATCAAGCAGTTGCTGCTCTTGCCAACATTGCCATAAGGCATATTCATGCAAAATATAAAAATGAAATGAACAAGACTGAAAGCTGCCCAACAGCAAGATACTGCTGCTGTGTGAACACGATGAGCCCAGATTTATAAACTGACAAATTAGAGAGACTCCAACATTATTTTAATATTTAATTTCTACATTGGGAGGCAGGGTTGTTAAAGTTTAACAGTAATCAGAAACTTCCTATTCCAAGATGTATATCACAAACTCATATTGCAAAGCACTGTATATTAAACTGACATACACAGCAGAGAAGGACTCTGAAACAAATAAATTGTAAAGCAATATTGTGTCTACTTTATGTAACTACTAGGAAATTTGCTTGGTATTGTTTGGTTGCTATAAATAATGACAAATTTTCAAATGGTAGCAGCTAATGCCTTTACAATTATGAGACCACATTGCACACAAAGTGGATAATTTTACAAAAGAAAATGGTTTATTAAAATATCAGCCTAAGTCTGTAAATATCGGTTCAAAAATACATGTTCCAGAACTAAAACAATTTTGCCTTTAACTTTATTTTATTTTTTTACATTAAAGGCAGGAATCTGAAGTGTTTGGAAAGTGAAATGAGTGGAAGGTATGCAAAGTAGTAGTTGGCAGACTGACACTGAAAATTTACTATTAATCTTCGTTTTTGTCCCAATTGATAAAATCCCAGGTTTGTGTATTTGTCTCGTCTTTAAATCAGTCTGATAAACTTTATCATTTACGTTATGATTTTTAATATTACAGAATGCAGCAGAAAAATAATAACAATGGTAACAGAAACAGTGTTCACTCTCTCCAAATACATGATGTGTAAGTGTATTTTACTATACTCCCAGGACTAACAGATTGGGGCAGGAAAATATTGATTGTAGAGGGTGAAAGCAACATCAGAAAAAGAATAAAGTCCAGTTCCCTTTAGGATCCCACTGTAGATTCAGATTAGACCACAACATAGCACTCTACATGGTACTATTCTCAAAAGGTGGTCAAAAACTTCAGCTCCTAATGGGATGGCTTACCAGCAGTTATCTTACAGAAAAGGACTTACAAATGTGCTTATTATGGTAAAAATTACTATCTATTTTAGGAAATTCATTTTTTTCAAACCTCTTCCCAAGATTAGAACCTATCTGCATTCTACTTCCAACATGGTTGAATTGTTTCAGAGGCACAATTTGACGTGAATGAGTTCCAGTTCCCACCCTAAATTTAGACAGGGTAGGTGTGAGAAACAAATAATAGATTGTCTTTGATCTGCAACTATTAGCTTATATATATATAGGTGTGTCTCAGCAAGAGATTAAAGGGTAAATTTTAAATTACGAATAGATTATATTTAATATGCAGACTTTAAAAACTGATATGATCTTTTAATCGACTACATATTTTAATTGGTGTTTGTGGTTTCAGCTATGTTATACATCCATTTGTTGCCATATTTTAATCTATTGTTCCCGGCCTTGAACCACAGGGAGAAGTGGGTAAGAAATATATATAATGATACACTTTTACAATGCTTGATTATTATCAGGAATAGTTTTAAAAAAGTTTGGGGCCAATAACACCTGTGATCTTCCTTTCCTGTTTGTTTGCTTTAAATCCATTCTCAAGGACAGAACAAGAAAAACAACATAGCATTTTGCAACTTAGGGGTCAACTCAAGAGTGTAAGGGCATGCAGCACCTTTGACAGTGAAGGTGCAATTTTTTGGATGAAATTAGAAACCATTTACCTTATTATAAAATTCTAGTTCTCTGGGCCCTCGCGGTGGAGGCTGCAATTGTTTGAGGACTGTGCCATCTGGATGCTGCAATATTCCTGGAGTAAAACACAAGACATTTGATGTTTTTAAAGTATAAGGAATATAGTCTTCAAACTACAAGATATTGACAGTTTTAACCACTTATTGAGTCCTTCACAAGGAGCAGTAATTGGCATGTCAGAATACACAATTATGAAAAATGACTCAAGAAAACAAGAGTTATGAAGCTTTCTTTTAATGAAGCACATAAAAAGGAAAATTCAACCGTCAAGGATTTCACATTCATAAAATATTGACCACATGTGGACCAGGAGTATGTAGAAGTCAGGGAAAATTGAAAGATACCACAATAACATAATTGCAAATGGGGAACGTTTAGGAACTCTTGTGTTGAATGCCCATTTTACAAACTGGACAAACTTTTCAAATACTGTACAAAATATGTTTATTTCATAATAAACCTGCCTATTTTTATCACCAAAGCTTGCTGTTATTCTGAAGTAGTCCATTTAGTGATGTTAACAAAGCAATATTATTGTGAATTAAGGCTGTCTAAGACCCAGGTATGCTACATCAAAGAAAAACAATTTGCAACTTGTGAATTAATTGTCACTTAACTAATCAATTTGCAAAGACTTGCAATCTTGAAAACTGCAGTGCAAGGTACTTTGCTTTGATCCAGCAAATGACATTCCTAGATCTTAATTGGCCTTGCAACTCAAAAGAGAAATTCATTAAAAGATTACTGCTTCAGCAATAATTCTTTGTCACATCTGAGATGCTAAGCATGGTTGATCTAAAGATGTGCAAGAAGATCTCATCAATCCAATTTAGAATTTTGACTTATTAGTTATATTACAGTGTATAACCCTATACATTTTAAAACACTACAGCTACCCTGGTTTAGGACCAGATCATAAATAAATAAAGATAAACATACCACATCTTTGTTTTCTGGTTTTGTTTTCACTAAACAAGGACAATGAAAAGCCTTCCTTCTGCGTTTCTAGACAGTAATATTCTCAGCTTCTATATAAGTGATTCTATGTTTTAAAAATAAAAAATAATTAACAACTTTCCTAAGTTTGCTCAACAGCTTCCCACTTTTCAAAAGCTTGCATAAATCTTATCTAGGTGACAGTTTAATAATGTTTTTCACTTTCCTGCATTGCAAGTTTTGTAAAATTTCAAAGAGAATATCTTTGAACACTTGGCAGGTCACTACACTGCCTTTAACTGACTAGAATGTAATGAACTGATCTCAAATAGATGTAAGTTGTGGTAGAAATACACAACTACTTATGGGCACCGCTGAGTCAAATCCCTTTTCCTCTTTGCATCTCTTTAAAACTCCTTGCAGTGGTTCTCAACCTGGGGTCCCCAGATGCTTTTGGCCTACAACTCCCAGAAATCCTAACAGCTGGTAAACTGTCTGGGATTTCTGGGAGTTGAAGGCCAAAAACATCTGGGGACCCCAGGTTGAGAACCACTGTGAAATTCACTCAAGAAGATGAGTTGCAGAATCCTTCAAAGACCCAAGCAGCTTGTGGAGTGGGAGATGCACATCGAAGAAGCCAAAGTATACTTCTATTGCATAAAAACAAGCCCACTCACATAACATTGGTTTTAAGATATGATAACAATTATCAGCTACGTTTATCTCAGGACTCTCACTTAAAAATAGCTATGAATCCCATTCAATATAGCACTATATTTCATTTCCACCACAATGACAACATCCTATGGCGATAGAGAAGCTTCTGCGTTGCAACTCTATCCTTTTTTGCCTTTAGATCCTGGAGGCTGGAGGGAGGGCAGCCGGGCATGTGCTGGGTGGGACAGGCCCAGGAGGGAGAGGGTCTGTGAGAGGGTGGGACTGGGAGGGGGGGCAGGGCCTAGGTCATCCTCTGGTTGTCCTCCTGGCATAAGGTTGGGGCTTCTTGCCCCATCCTTATGCCAGGAGGAAAACAAGACATGCAGTGACTGCCCCGATCTTCGGGCTATCCTCTCAGCATTAGGTCGGGAAGATGGCGATGCAGATGACGGCCGAGAGTACTCTGGAGGGCTCTTAGCAGCTGCGTGCCTTCCTCAGGCCATCCTCTCAACATAAAGACAGGGCTGCTCGCACAGTCTATATGCTAGGAGGAGGGTGAGACATATGGTGGCTGAGAGTGCTCCAGACCGCTCTCAGCTGCTGCATGCCTTTTCCCCCATCCTTTTTGCCCACACCTCATACAGAGTCAGCCTTTCACATTTGCTAGGATTAGGGACACAGGATCCCAATAAAATTAAAAACATGAATGAAGAAATTATTTAAAAAATCTCAGAGATCACTTCTCTAGGAATATTTAGACCAGGGGTCCTCAAACTAAGGCCCAGGGGCCAGATGCGGCCCTCCAATATGATTTACCCGGCCCTTGCTCAGGGTCAAACTAAGTCTCAAACGACTTGAAAGCACATAACAACAACAATCCTCTCATCAGCCAAAAGCAGGTCCACACTTCCCATTGAAATACTAATAAGTTTATATTTGTTAAAATTGTTCTTCATTTTAATTATTGTATTGTTTTTAAATGGGTGTTTTTTTGCACTATGAATAAGATATTGCAGTATGCATAGGAATTAATTCATGGTTTTTTTCAAATTATAATCCGGCCCTCCAACAGTTTGAGAGACTGTGACCTGGCCCTCTGTTTAAAAAGTTTGTAGACCCCTGATTTAGACCTTCCAATGCAACTCTAAAGTCAATTTCCGTTGGAAACTGAACATATAATCACAATGGAGGACCTAGAGGCTCATAGAGAAATGTTCTCTTTTGAAATCTCTGCGTCCTCCAGTATGATTGAAGTGGGCCATAGAGTCATGCTGAAGGACCTAGAAATTCCCAGAAATGATATTTTTAATCAACTCTGTGAATCATCAAACTGCAAAAGTCAAAACTGCAAATGTAGACATGACTGAGCACCGGCTCAGAATCTTGAGAACTGCTGTTCTACATTTATATAAGCTTTCAGTCATAGAACACAGAATGCCCTCTTGAATGCAAGAAGGCATAAAAAGTAACTTTAATGGTGTAATCTCCTCCAAGTCCTTCCTTACAGTCATTCATCACCAATTCTTCCTTCTTTAACCACTGCCCATGCCCAGTTTTTATAAAGGAGACTGGGCTGAAAGGAAACAACACTCACTGCATGGTGATGAAATCACTCCAAAATGAATAGCAAACCTCTTTTTTATTCAAAGCAACAGTCTGTGTAGTCTTCCTAAAGTTTCTCTGCTTCTTACAAAAGGTCTCTCTACTCATCCAATTAAAATTTTCTGAAGTTCTCTAGTAAGAGCATTGGCATTTTCTTTTTTATTGTTTGGTTTTTATTTGGATATGGCAAAAACAAGGAAAATCTTCCCTTGTTTCCAAACTTCCTCTTCATACGCATGAATTTAACGTAATAGCACATTGTCAAAAGAAAATTCAGAGCCTCCCACACAGTCCTGAAAAAGAGCAGAGAGGTCACGCTATTTGTAAAAGGCCAAAACCACAAAGAAGCACAACAGCACGCACGGTATGGGAGCCATCCTGCGAAACAACTTTAAAGAGTTTACCAGGAAGGAAAATGTTACCTGATCTAGTATTGCTCCATGAATACATGCCAAACATGAGTATTTACTGTAAACTACAAGGCTGTGTAGAAAAAGAGTCAGTAAAGCACAATTTAATAAGGATAAAATCCAAGTTTTGCAAGGATTTTAAATGTTAGACTTTTGAAGTGCAACATTTCCACATTTTTGATGACACATTACTTAACCAGATGTTGTTATGCAAAACAAGACACTGCCATTTCTATAAAATAGGGAAAGTGGGTGACAATCACTGTGAAAATAATATATTTTGATGAGTTTTGAAGGGTTTTTATGTAGTTTTTACAGCATAATATTAACAAATTGTCTCATGGCTTATTAATTGCATATTTATATTTTAATACTGATTATTCTATAGCTTTTGCCTTGTATTGATTTTAATACACTGAATCCCATTACTGAGAGAAAGACTAAATTAAATTATTATTATTATTATTATTATTATTATTATTATTATTCAAAGAAAAACCCTTCACTGGATGACTGAAGATTAAGAGAAATGAACATACATGCAATCATCAAGTCGGAGCGCCCCTGGTGGCGCAATGGGTTAAACCCCTGTGCTGGCAGGACTGAAGACCAACAGGTCACAGGTTCGAATCCGGGGAGAGACGGATCAGCTCCAGCTCCTCATGTGAGGACATGAGAGAAGCCTCCCACAAGGATGATAAAAAAAAATCAAATCATCCAGGCGTACCCTGGGCAACGTCCTTGCAGACGGCCAATTCTCTCACACCAGAAGCGATTTGCAGTTTCTCAAATCACTCCTGACACGACAAAAAAAAATCATCAAGTCTAGTGTAACAGGGTGGTTTCAAGGTTAAAATGAAATCACTCTGGGTTCCCTGAAATAATTGCCACTTTGGGTCTCGGTCCTGGGATAAAAGCAGGTCAGAAACAAGTACAATAACAAATGACAGATGCGAATGGGACAAACACATACAATTTCTGAACTTTTGTCACAACTGTTGTTTTGTTAAAATGATATCCCTACCCACCCACCCGAAGGTCCCTCTCTTCCTATATGAAAACACATGCAACTGGAAGCACTGGTGGGGGGGGGGGGGGGGGGGGGGAGAAAGCACGAAACACTGGGTAAACATGAAAGAGAGTGGGGGCAGAAATAATTGAAGTCAAAACCCGTATCACACAACACCTCTATGCCACCAGTCGAATTCATTCACAAAGAAACATGCCCAGTAGGCCTGGGCAGTTTCGTTCGTTAATTTTGTAATTCGTTAAATATTCGTTATTTTTAGCATTTACGAAACGATTACAAAACACATTTTCAAACCCGGAAGGGTTTAAAAATAACGAACCGGCAACCCCCATAGTTTTAACGAGCTTCCGCCCGTTTCGTAAATGGGATGGAGGCTGCTGGTGCCCTGGGAGCCAATCCGGCGCTCCCAAGCACCCAAGC